AAGCTCTGGCAATACCTCTTCCCAAATCGAGATTCTATAACATAAACTATATATATATATATATATATATATATATATTTTGATAAGTAACTGTAACATAAACTATTATCATGGATGAACACAAACTTCGGGCAAGTTGATCCAAATCTCACTGTAATCCAAACACTTTCAGCATCTCTTGTTTCATCTGCATCCACTCTCACAAAGCCGCCACACAAATCCCCCACTTCAACGAACAGGGCCTGACACCATAGATGCAGTGGAAGCCCAAACATCCAAATCTGCTTATGCCCTTTATCCCTGAGCACACCACAGCAACCAACCCCGAAGGACCGCACATCAATCCTCAGGGTTGCAGATCCCTACTGTCGCCGAACTTCCTTCAACACCTTTTGAGCCTCCGCTGGAGATGGAAACCTAAATAAGAGAAGAGAATCTGATAAGGGCGTCACACCCACCCCACAAGATGTATTCCATGCCCGCACTACCCACTCCTCTACTCGATCACACCCCCCAACCTCTTTATCAAATTGTCCAACCAAACAGGACAAAAGCATCGCTCTTCTCCCTTCAACTGACTCCTCATCAATTTACAGCGATGGCCCTTGATGAGGGATCGCCATCTTCACTTTCCCCCCAAGAAAAAGCCTTGGGAGCCTTTCAACCTCAAGAAAGACTTCATCCCTTGCGATTGCAGTCGTGTTGACATGGACACAATGTATAATGGGGAAATCAGAGCCATAATTCTCTTTTCTGGTTACACAACTACGCTTGATAATAATAATGATATGAATTATTTTAACTTGGCATCCATAAATTTGAGTTTTGATGAATTTTGATTGAATTATAGTCGTGGGTTGATATTAATAATAAATTTTGTGTTGGTTTACAAGTTGCTGTCGAAAGGAAACACTTTTTTGTATCTATCTTTCATTGTTTATTATTTATATTAGTTTTTAAGTTGTTAACCTAAAAATTTATATGTGCGCTAGAAAATTTTTAATAGAGTAGTTTTTTTCTTAATTGCTTTATTGGTTATGGACCTAAACACTTGTTTAGTTATTAACTTAGTAGGAAAAAAAAAGAGCTTATTAGATCAACCAATATTTACTTTGCATATATAACTTGAAGAAAAATGCTCGCTTGGAAGTTCAACCCCCAGACACCATAGCCAAAAGTGGTTTAGAGGAGTGGAAGAACTGCCTTGTTGGGTACTTCATTGATCGTAAGTTACCTTATATTATATCACAGTGAATTCTATTGCCCCTAATAAGGACGGAAAGCAAGCAAGCATACCAATACATGGTAACTAAGATAATGAATGTTAATTACCACAACAAGCAAGCTTCATATAATACTCCCTTTGTCCCATATTAGATGTCCATCTTTGGTATTATAACTTTTTAAGGAGATATGCAATTAATGCATTGACCCCTTTAAAATTACTAATTTGTCCTTTTATGTTGTTTAAATATGTATATTACGAAGTTGTGAGATTTTTGAAAACTTAAAGGATAATTATGGAAAAATAGATATATTTTGCTTTGACTTTTCAAATGGCACAACTAATTTGGGACATCCATAAAAGGGATATGGGACTACGAATATGGGACAGAGGTAGTATAAAATAAGTAATCCAAAAAATTAAACAATTGTAAAGGGAAAAAAAAAAAAGAAAGTAAAAAGGCAAAAATTAAAACTTAGATGGGAAAAAAAATTATGCTCCTGTCAATATTGGAAGCCTAGTTTTTCTAGAATAAAACCATAAACTATAACTTTACATAAAGGACTAAGCACTTGAATTAATCAAATGATTGGAGTCGTAGCGATATAATAATAGGTAACCACAGACAAATCCAGATTAATCTAACATAATCGAGTAAATTTAGGCTTCAAATGATGATCTACCTAAATTTGTTTTTTTTTGGGTTTGGGGTTTTTGGGTTTGGGGGGGGGGGGGGTGGTGATGGGGCACTTAGATTGAAGATCTAGGTACAATCATGGATATTTGAGGTTGGGAAATATAAGTCCAAGCTTCGAAGGAGGTTGTAGAGGATTGGAAAGGTCAATAAATCAGGAAGAGAAGAGAGGGGGAACTGTTAGTTGTGGAGATGTACAAGGTTGTAAATCAGGAAAAAAATGAGGGGTCTGGGTGTTGGTTGGGAAGATGGCTAGATATGGCCTTCTAAACATTCCCATTTTGACAAAAGTTCATTGAAGTTGTGGACCTTACAAGTGGATTGCCTAAGAAATGATAGATCACTTAGATTGAAGATCTAGGTACAATGATGGATATTTGTGGTTAGGAAATATTAGTCCAAGCACCAACGGGCCAGGCCTAGCGGTACTAGGCTCCTACTTTCCAAAGAGAGGTCAGGGGTTCGAGCCTCAGTGGAGGCACGTGTGTGTGAGTACCAATTAAGAAAATATATATATATATATATATATATATATATATATATATATATATATATATATATATATATATTAGTCCAAGCTTAGAAGGAGGTTGTAGAGGACTTGAAAGGTCAATAAATCTAGAAGAGAAGAGAGGGGGAACTGTTAGTTGTGGAGTTGTACAAGGTTGTAAATCAGGAAAAAAAAAAAATGAGAGGTCTCGGTGTTGGGTGGGAAGACGGCTAGATATGGCCTTCTAAACATTCCCATTTTGACAAAAGTTCATTGAAGTTGTGAAAAACTGCAATGGCATTCTGAGTTGTTAACAAGTATGTAACAACTTTTAGATTTGTGAATTTTATTAGATATGATATTTTGGACTATAATGGTCAAGCAAGTTGATGATACTGGTGCAAAATAGTCACCTAAGGACAAGTTGTTAATACGTAAAAAATAGAATTTGTGTACATCTGACCCTTCCCAAACCTAGCAATGGTGGGAGCCTCATGCACTGGGCTACCCCCTTCTCTTTTATTATTAGAATTTGTGTGTCCCCAATCAAATTATGTTTAAACCATGGTTTTAGTAATGATCACATATATTGCATAGCCATATTGACAGCTCGTATGATCTTTGTGGTCCGCCATATCCGTCATATGGATTTAAGTCGTAGCAGTCGTCATCTTACGATCCATTACAGTTATGCCGGGGTATGAATGTTTGAAAGATCAAATTAACCATTTTTAGCCCCCTCTGTTGGTTCTTGATTTCTAACTCTGGAAGCCTCCACCTCTGCCAAGCTTAGTTTACTTTGTGATCTCAAATCTTCATGATCTGGGATATTCTTGGTTTTGTGCATCTGATCCAATATTTCCTTGGCCTACAGGTTCTTTTTATTTTTTGCGTGATTTCAATTCTTTAATTCAAAAGATATTTTTTATTTGATGGTATAAAAAGATTCCTTTAATGCTTTCCATTGATGTTTTTATTTTCACTAGAATTTTCATTTATATTCAAGTTTTAAAGATGTAATTTGCTTGGTATACCATGGTTAAATTTTATATGCATTATCAAATAACTCAAATTGTTGGAACAACCAAAATTCTAGATTCGATATGGGACAATTTAGTATTTCTTCATTCAGTCTCATCCAATCACCACGAGAGCTCACATCAACGGGAAGTTTTGGCACCTTGATGTTGGCTGAATTATGTTGTTTTTCCATTAAAGCGATATTTGAGTTGGGTTCAGGATGTCGTGAGATAGTTCGGTCCATATCCGGTGTGGGCGTCAGAGCATTGATAGGACCTTTCTCTAGTACAGGAGGACTGGGAAGGAGGCACCTCTGATGTACCAGTTATTGTGTCCACAGTAAATGCTGAGTGCGGAGCAAATGTTGGCTGGTGTAGCTAAGGAATCCACCCTAGTAAGCTCTGCAAACTTACCGCCGACAATGGACTGACCACCACGAATACAAATTTAAGTACAAATCTGAGCCCTCCCTAACACCAATTGGTTTTAGGAGAACTGGTGGAAGCTGGGACCAACAAGTGGTATAAGAGCCAGGGTCTTGTGTTCGAGTGACCAAGGGTGGTTCTTTGGAGGGAGGGAGGGAGAGGGAGGGGGGATTGTTGAGTGTAGCAAGAAATCCACCCTGGTAAGCTCTGCGAACTAACCAACGACAATAGCCTGAGCGCCACGAACACAAGTTTAAGGTTGAAGTCCTCCCTCACACCATTTGGTTTTAGGAGAACTGGTGGAAGCTGGGACCAACAATAATTGCTAAAAGTATCGAAGTAGTAAGTCCACCCAAATGAGTGTTCTCCTTTTCCAACTCCCCAGAGCCTCTGGTAGCACAACCGGGACGATGACGGGTTCATATTGGTTAGTTTTAAGGATATATTCCATATTCCATTTAAGGTAAAGCATTATTTTTCAATTCTTTTGCGTAATTCGGATTAGATCTATCAATTCTAGCTGAGGCATGCTTGATCTAGGTTAGAATCATCAAGATATGTGTATATTAGTGAAGTATAGAATAGTATCTCCTCAATTACAACTTTAAACCCTATATAGAATCATTCTCCATATTAACTCATGTTCATAAGTTGTACAAAATACATTAAAATCGTATCTTTGGGATTTTGGATTTAATGATGTGTATTACTTCTAGTTTTGTAGCTGTATGATCCACACAAAAAATATTTACAGGTCCAATCTCCGGGTCTGTTATTGTTAGCCGAGATATGATAGACACAAATCATGGGATTTGACTTACCATATTATCTGAGAGACGATAGCCACAAATTATGGATTTGACGTTATTTACGCATATGTCTAGGCATAGAGTATGCAATGATTTTATTCAGTTTCCTTCTTGAAATATTAACTTGTGCTCTTTTTAGTATATAAATAGTAGAGTTGTGAATGAGTGTTGTATTCTCATTCAAACCTCTACATATTATTAATCTCATTCAAGCCTCCACATATTTCTCTTGTATTCTTTCTATCTTGTATTTTTTCTGCTATGTAACAACCATTCCGCATCACCACTACCGCTGCTGCCCGTGTGATTTTGAAACTTGATTTACATACATTGACAGGGAGCAGATGAACTTTGTATGGTTGATCAAAAGCATCATAATGCAACAGGGTTTGAGGAGTTGAGGTTTGATGAATTAGAACCTTTGAAATTCAGTTTTGTGAATGGGCAAGAGTCACTGTCTCCACCAGAGGTATCCATGGAGTTGGCAAATGATGCAGGGATGGAAGTGGGGTTCTCTTCCTCGGTCCAATTTGAATCGGAGGCAATCATGTTAAGCATGACTTCTAGGCATCAGCTTACAACTATATGCGTATGGTGCAGAGTAGAGTTTAACATTGAGGCTTTCGATTCTGAATCTCAATCAGATTCTGTTGGTTTTATGTGTCCAACTTGCAGGGCTAAAATCTCCGGGCAGCTTAATGTATTGGATGGTGGCCTGTCCGCAAATTCACACTTTTTCTGATCAATTTTGCCTCTCCCACATGGTTTTTAAGGATGATTCTTCTCAGATGGGAGGTAATTTTCAAACCTCTAGAATAATTCCTTATTAATTTGTAATGTTTTTAACTGATTGAAAATCAAATTCATGTTTTTCTTCTTGTCCAAATGGAATTGTTCTTCTAATAGTAGGTTGTATTATTAACAAGAATTACTGATCCTAAGCCGGTATTCTACCACAATAAGTAAATAAATAAATAATAAACAAAATAAGAACCTTGACAGTGCCTCGAGCACCTAGGTGGTCATTCTGGTGAGACATCAGACATGACGCATTACATATTTGCTATACATGTTCCGTCCTAATATCTAACTCAAATCCCAAAAGTTATTCTTAATTGGTCACTTATAGTTGGCACATTTGGTCACCTGATAATTGTGTCATTGTGTCTGTGCTGTGAGGGCTCTAAGTCACTTGGATGGTTCATTGTGCCATCAATGCCTGGTAGTGGCAACATCATCCATGATCTATTATCACAAACATAATCATATGACATGAACTCAGAGTTGATACATAAGTTTTTGTTTTTTAAAAAGAAAAAAGGAAATTTAACTGTTGATTTAAGTTCATGATTGATCGGAAGCTTTTATTTTTATTTTTTAATGTCCTTTTCGAACTTTCCAACCGTGGAATTATAACTAGCATAAATTTGTCTTGGTCTCATGTGCAAATAGGACGACCAGTTAGTTTATAACAAACTAAAGTGCAAACCAAGAACATGAAGTGAGCGCCTTGCAGAGTATGTCCAGGTGACCGCTAGCCTAGTGTTAGAGGTTCTTGTCCTTCATCGGATCCGGAGGGGGAAGGTCATGGGCTCTTATATGGGTGGGTATGTAGCATTACCCAACGACTTAAGCTTTTGGGTTAAAAGGCAAGCAGCCAACCTGTACCAAGTGGTATCAGAGCTTGACCCTGTCCTTGATCCGGTATCACGCCAAGCGCCGATCCTAGAGGTGTTTGGTCCCAGCCGGATAGGCAGGGTGATCCGACCGTAACAAGAGCGTTGCGAGTTCAAGTGGGGGGAGAATGTTAGGGGTGGTTGTTACACATTGGATTCGGATGGGGAAGGTCATGGGCTGATATTGGTAGGCATGCAGCACTACCTAACAACTTAAAATTTTGGTCAAAAGGCAAGCGCCTGGCGCATTACACCTAGCCATAAGAGAGACTTTAAGTGCCAACTGCCAAGGCATTCCTTATGCAAGAACTTGGCAACACTTGAAAGACCATGTGCCGATACTGAATGCTGATTGCTTGTTTGTTTGGTACTTCTTGCAGTGGTATGGTTGGTGGGAGATACTTAAAGTGGCCAAACTTGCAACAGGAAGTGAACTGCACTTGTGCAATGAGAAAATTGCATTGCGATGGAATCTCGTAGCGAGAATCAGGAAGTAGACTTCACTGTTATGTATGTATATGGTCTTTTTGCTGGATATTATCCGTCAAATATAGTTCCTAGGCTTGTTGTGTGTGTTATCATATGGTGCATTGTCTCATATCAGTCCTTTTGGTGGTAATAAACTAGAAATTAAGGATGACTGAGTCGCCATGGACTTGAATCAAATATACGTATATATAATACATGTAATAATGTGTATTTATTTGTATGTTTTATTTCCTTCATCTTTTTTTGGCGTTTCTTTGGCCATGTCCAATCTCAAAATTCCCCCTGGAAGGAGAAAAAAGTGTAATGTGATTGACCTCTCATATAAATCTAATATCCTCAATTGTTCTTGCGTTGCCACAGATATTTTTTACCTGGGAAAATGTTGTGCGTTCTTTAATCTGCTTAGGATCATTGCTTGTTGGCCAACCTAAATATGTGGCAATGATCCTAAGCAGATTAAAGAACAGATGCACAACATCAATATTGTGTGTGTAGATTACTTATGGATCATAGTGTAGAGTGTAGATTACTTATCTAATGATCCTAAAGCAGATTTGAGTACCAACTAGGTTACAGTTTGCTCTGTTTTTTAGTTTCTCTAATACAAGTGTAGTTAATTACTGTACTAATATTGATCATACTGTAGATGTGTAGATTACTTATCTAATTGATATAATATTAAGTTCAAATTTTGATCCTTTTGATGGGTTGACATAGTGTTTGATATACAATGAATGGTAGATAAAATTACAAGTGTCATGTTTCTTTTTACCTATGCGAGTGCTTCTAGGTTTTGCAAGTTAATAAAGTTTTTAGTATCAACAAAAAGCACAGCATGAAAAGGGTTGCTTATGTTTGCCCAGTTGAGCAATAGTAAAATGCCAATGCTGACACAAGGAACAAAAGGAGTGTTGCATTAGTGATTAAAAAAGAAAAGAAAAAAAAGAAAAGAAAAAAAAGAATGTAATTTATTGATTTGTATGGCCTCCAACTTTGAACGAATTTTGATTGATGTTGATGATAAAAGGAATTTTCCAAAGAACCTTTTGCCGACATTCATTCATGCTGTAATGCTGCTGATCTCAATTTGGTAAACGAGATGCCCGAGGGAAAAAGAATCCTTTGAAGTTCGAAATCGAAAAGAAAAGAAGCATAAGAGAGAAATTATACCAAGAAATATGTGTGTGTGTGTGTTTTTTTTTTTTTTTTTTTAATAAATAAATTATTATTATTTTTTATTTTTATATTCGGTTCGTATTCTCTTTCCTCTCCTCTGTATTCTCTATCCGCACTTCTATGCGAATAAAAATGATGCGTCTTGATGAAAGTCATTCTCACTGCCTTTCATTCCTGAGCACTATGCATGTGGAAATTTTTTAAATTAAAAATATTCTTTAGTCCTTTGTCCTATATTTTCTAAAATCGAATTGCCCACAATCGAATTGCCCACACTCGATAAATTAGATTAATAGATGTCATTTTTTATTTATTTTTTTATTTTTTATTTTCTAAATACAGTTTGAATGTGTTTCTAACTTTAGCTGGTAAAACTTATCCTAATTCACGATGAAAAGGGATAAAAGACATGTTGATTATAGAAGAGTTGTCAAAAAAAAAGGAGTTATCCTATGAAGTTATCAAATGGCATTAATGTTAAGATTACAGAACAGAAAAAAGAGTCGTCTGAGTTCAGCCTTGCTTAACTCGAACCATATAAATCAAAACATACATAGACCAATCCACCACTGAATAGAGTGAATCTGGTTCTCCATTACCTCCGAATAAAGCTATGGGCATTTAAAAGAACAAAAACAAATTGATTTGAATCATTAAAATTCCACACTTTTGAACTACTTTTATATCCTGCCTCTATATTTAATATTGGTCATTTCCACTCTCCAGAATTCAACACAATCTACTAAGTACCCAAAAACAGAAAACAAATTAACATATCAAAGAAATGGGAAGTAGAATAGAGAAGTGCAATTGGTGTGGGTCGCATGTAAGGCTGCTATTCGAGGCACAGGCCTTTAGCTGTCCGTTTTGCCGGGCACACAACACGCTCCGACCCTACAACGACAATGGCTACACTAACCCGACAGCTTACTGGAACAATGGCTACCCCAACAACAACAATGGCTACCCCAACAGTAACAATGGCTACACAAACCCGGCAGCTTCCTGGAACAATGGCTACACTAACCCGGCAGCTTCCTGGAACAATGGTTACGTCAATGGTGGACCTTATAACAAAGTGAATGCGGTGGCCCCTCCAATGTACAGTTACCCCGTGCCTGCTTATGGTAATACCCTGCAATCTCTTCCAGTGAAGGGGAGAAAGCGAGCAGTGCTTTGCGGTTTGAGCTATTATGGCACTCCTAACATTCTGAAGGGTAGTGCCAACAATATCAACTACATGAGGTATTTTCTGATTCAGAAGATGGGATTCCCATGTGAATCCATTTTTGTCCTTACAGGTCTCTCTCTCTCTCTCTCTCTCTCTCTGGCGCACACAAAAAAAAAACATTAAACAATAAATATGGACTCACTCACTATAAGAGTTTAAGTTCAATAAGACCAACATTAACGTATGAGTTTGACATTTTATGAGAAACTTAAAATGGCTAATATGAAAACTCCATGCAAAGGCATGTGTGCGCGTCAGCGCTCCCACGTGCATGTGCGAGTGTCTGTCAAATAGAGAGAACTTCCTATATAATATCATGTGAAGTTTTCTAGATTGAAATGGTCATAGTAAAAGACAGTCTAGTTGTATTATGAGCTTGTAACATTAGTCATTCCTTAAATGATTTTCATATTTCCATTAACCAACCTGCAGAGGATGAGACAAACCCGTCACGGATCCCAACAATACGTAACATGCGAGTGGCCTTGCATTGGCTTATCCAAGGTTGCCAACCAGGAGACTCGTTGGTGTTCTACTACTGCGGCCATGGCTCACGGGTGCACGACCTTGATAATGATGAGAGAGATGGGTTTGATGAAGCACTCTGCCCTGTTGATTATAGGACTGGGGGAAAGTTATTGGATGATGAGATTAATGACACCATAGTAAAGCCATTACCCCGTAAAGCCAAACTTCATGCCATCATTGATACTTGCTACAGTGGAACATGTCTAGATCTGCCATTTGTTTGCAAGATAAACGGGTTAGTGACATATTTGTTGACTAATTGTAACTTAGATGGTAAACAACTCTCATGGTAACAGTTATCTGCATTCAGAACAAGAACTCTACTTTATTGTTATTTAACGTCTTTTCAAGCAGGGAACAACATTATAAGTGGGAAGATCACCACAGCCAACATGCTTATAAAGGTACAAGTGGTGGCAAAGCATACTGCTTCAGTGCTTGTGATGATCACCAAAATGCTGCAGATACTACAGTGAGTATCATTTTTATGCCCCTTCCTCCAAAATACTGTTAACTGGTCTCACTTGTATATGTATATAAAAAAAAGAAACACAACTCACAGCAGCTTTATGTCATTACTAACAAACAAAAATTTGGTGAAAGTCGCTCCAACTCAATCAATATCAACATCTCGTGACCTGTTAGGTTTGGTTGATTTTGTTAAAATAAAGTAGGTTTCAGGGGTTCATTGATTAGGACACCCTCAGGTGCTGGTAACGTCAGGACCATGGTCGTCCGTCTCTGGTTTGCCAGCTGAAAAGATCTCTGAGATTGACCAACCGTAGAAGGTGATAAATAGAGACAAACTACGGCATAAATAAGTTCACTATATTTAATAAATTAAACTACCTATGTATTTGAACTAAACTAGAATAAAAAAATATATATAAAAATTTCAAAGATAACGACCAATATTGTATGTAAGTCTGGAGGTCAAGGGCTCAAGACTAACCATATAAAATACACGTTCCACATAAAGTAAATGTAACACGTGGGTATCAATTATAAACAAGTATCGTCCATAAATAACAATTATTCAGAATCTTGCATTGCTTATGCAGGATTTCACAGGCAACACTGCGATTGGTGCCTTCACTCAAAGCTTCATCGACACTCTGGAAACTCAGCCTCAATTAACATATGGCAGCTTACTTAACTCCATGCACAGGAAGATCTCTAAAATCCAACAAGAAGTGCGCCTGAATAATCCAAATGCACACCCTAAACCACAGGTATGTTTCTCTAGGTTGTCTTAAATTAGCTCTTACGAGGGATAGCTCATGCATGCTAGGAAATTTCTAATTTTGACAATGGTATTTGGAATGAACATGTTAGGTGTGTAGTTACTTATACCATTAATTAGTGTGAAGGTGTTTCAGACCTTGAATAATTCAATTATTTTATCCCTATTAACATGAAGGAGTGATGCTAATCATTTTACAAACCAACATGTCATGTTCAACTCAAATTTACAAGCTTTCCAACTAATTGGTTCATTTGCATCGATCTAAGTCTCCAGTCTACTCCATGTAAAGTAAAACCATCCACAACAAAATTCAAAACAATCAAGGTGTTTCTCATAGCCTACCTCCAAGTTGTTTATAGTCTTCCTTCTATTTTTGGTCTTGGATCAATTCACTCCTTGATACCAGTGCATCAATTGGTCCAACTGATCAAAGTCAAACCCTCTCAAATGTCCAAATCATCCTATTGTCTATAGAAGGAATGCATTTTCATATGTATAGTCAAACTCTAAACAGAGCAATGATGGATTGGTGGTTTATATGTTCATTCATCATAACAGGCATTAATATATTAAATACAAAATTAATTCACGTCAATACCAGTTTTTTTCCAAGATATTTAAATCCTTTGCTAATAATGTTTGTCCATGAGTAATTTTCTTGAGCTAATACTTGGTTTCACTTTGGTATTTTGTAGGAGCCTATACTGTCCTCTACTGTGGGGTTTGACATTCACTCAACGATATTCACCTTATAGGTATAATCATCAAGTTCTAGCCAAAGCTGCTGAATTGAAGTAATAAGTGCCATTTGATTTATGATGTAATCAGTCTAAAATAAATTGCTCCTACTTCATCTTCTGTACAACTATGAGCAATAAAGTTTTAATCTATTGGAAGTCATTACCTATCCACTAAAGAACCTTTTCAACTAGGTCTCCTGATGAAAATCAGCACATGGAAGCTTCTATTTTGGTCCTAGTAAAAGCATCAGCATTTTAAGAAACATAATCTACTATAACTTGGCCAAGGCTTGAAGTCCTATCACCTGCAGCCGACGCTCACCTGTTGCCAATGAGAAGGAGGCAAGTGTCAACGGCATTTGGACGCTTGTCTAGATGGATCGTAATGCCACACAATATTACGATTTTAAATCTACTAACATCAGAATGCTGCTATTGCCAGAACAGCAGTTGCTTCTAGAGCAAGTGTTGCTGGTGAATAGTTGTATTGACTGCTTTAGCTGTTTTACAGTGCCCCGGAAGGCTGGAAGCAGCAATTGGTGCCTTGGCGATAGGTTTCTATATTGAGCTCACTTTTCTTCTATATTGTGCTTTAGTTTATGTTATTATCCTAGCGAATTCTCTTTAGAGAAACAGCATATTAAATGAATCACATGAAGTTATTGATGAACAAAACATCCTTTAGAACTTGAAGCAAAATAATTTTTTATTGTAAGAAAGATAAGAAAAGGTCGAGTTGAAATGAAAAACAGAAGTTTCTCAAAGAGAGCCATAGTAGTTTTACCTCTATATCATCTGCTTCAGCTTCTGAAAAGGGTTATTGGTGAATGTGCCCTGTTCAGCTGTATGCATCACTTGTACGCGCTGCAACATTTTCAAAGCAGTCGCATCACACAGTAAACACGTGATATTGAGGCCTCTAAAGCATCACGATGCTTCCAAGGCAGAGTGCCAATGCCATTTTTCAGAAATGAACCATATTAATGAGAAAATTGAGGGGCATGGCTTGTGCCTTTTGACTTAACCTCATTATAAAAGAATTTTCAAAATTCCCAAGGAAAATGGAGTAATTGGTAGCAGAAAGGTGGTTCAACATATTTCACTGGCATTAGTTTAAGTTAAAAACAACATATTTTACGAAGTACCATATATGAAGGCAAATGATCGATGTATCAGATAAGTATGTCAGTGCAATTTATCTAATTGTTCATTTATGTTGTGGAATATAATACAGAAGCATGATGTTGTCAGATTAAATTCATGAAAACCTTGAAGCTAGCTTGCTTTCCAAGGTTACTAAATGCTACTCTAGTTGTTGGACCAAACACAAACATGAACAAAGTCGATAAAACCCACATATTACCATCACCAAATGACATTTGGTATTGAATATGAGGTTACTGTTTTCCTCATTGATATGATAAATGGAGCAATTTATGCTTTACGATACTTTGTAGTCCACTAACAGAAAAATGCCTCAAAACAGGGTTAGTGTTTTCCACATTAAAATCTAGAAAGGGCATTCTATATCTTAAAGCATATACCCAAGCCCATCTCTAATAAGCACCCAACAAAGATTTTTAACTTTATGAACGTCTTTAAGCTACCAGAATGCTTTAAGAATATCTGACACGATATGAGTTTCCAATACCCTGTTAATAGTGCTTTCCTTATTCATTTTTATTAGTGCCATTTTAAGATAAGAAAAGGTCAAGCTTGCCTAATTTCTCAACCGCACAAGCTAATGATGATATCAAACAGCATGAAAGAAAAGAAGAGCGAATCCGGTTCCAATACCCAATATAATGGAATAAAGCTAATTTTTTTCATGGGATAAAGCTAAAATGTGAAAAGGACAAGTCTAACTGACTTTACTAGGTGATTCCACTTACCTTTCATTTTAAATACCCTTGTATAGGTATTCTCACCCACTAGAATTGCATGCAAGAGAAAATGCCTACTAGAAGAGAGAGACGCAGTTGGTGCCATCTTCAAATACTGATGCCCCTGGGGCACAAACCATTCAGTGAGCAGTGTGTCAAGAAGTCATTCGGGTTCGACCTAATGACAGTTTGGATGAAGCCCAAGGCAAAAAAAAAAAAAAAAAAGGGAGAGAGAGTAGCTTTATTCCATTATAGGGTCCACCACTCAATGAATCGAGTGAACATGGTTCTCCATTACCTCCGAATAAAGCTATGACGTTTAAAAGAACAAAAATCAATTAATTTGAATCAGGGAAATTCCACATTTTTTATCTAATTTTATATCCTGTGTGTGCATATATATATGTGTGTGTGTGTGTGTGTGTCATTTCCACTCTCAAGAATCAAACACAGCTACGTACCAAAAAAAAGAGAAAAGAATCAAACATACCAAAGAAATGGCAGGAAGAATAGAGAGGTGCAATTGGTGTGGTTTGCGTGTAAGGCTGCCATTTGAGGCACAGGCCTTTAGCTGTCAGGTTTGCCGGGCATGCAACACGTTCCGACCCTACAACAACGATGGCTACACTAACCCGACGGCTTACTGGAACAATGGTTACCCCAACAACAACAATGGCTACCACAACAGTAACAATGGCTACACTAACCCGGCAGCTTCCTGGAACAATGGTTACGTCAGTGGAGGGCCTATAACAAAGTGAACGCGGTGGCCCCTCCAATGTACAGTTACCCGATGCCCGGTTATGGTAATACCCTGCAATATTTTCCAGTGAACGGGAGAAAATGAGCAGTGCTTTGCGGATTGAGCTATTACGGCCATAGTAAGAGTCTGAAGGGCAGTGCCAACAATATAAACTGCATGAGGTATTTTCTTGTTAAGAGGATGGGATGGGATTCCCAGGTGAATCCATCCTTGTCCTTACAGGTACCTCTCTCTCTCTCTCTCTCTCTCTCTCTCTCTCTATATATATATATATATATATATATATCATACAGAAATTAAACATAGACTCACTCACTAGAAGAGCTTAAGGTCAATAGGACCAATATTAACATCTGTGTTTGACATTTTATGAGAAACTTAAAATAGCTAATATGAAAACTCCACGCTAGTGTCTGGGTGTGTGTGCGCCCGTCAGATGAAGAGAACTTGCTTTATAATATCATGTGAAGTTTTCTAGATTGAAATGATCATAGTAAAAGACAGTTTAGTTGGTGTGTTATTAGATTGTAACACTAGTCATTCCCTAAGGCTTCATTTGGATAAACTGGAGGGAAAAGAAAGAAAAAAAAAACAATGAAAAGAATAACATTAGATATGAAGAAAAAAAAAAAAAAGGAGAGATAGCAATAACTTACATGTTTGGATTAATTATGAAGAAAACCATTCATATTTCCATTTCTCATCTGACACCCACAGAGGATGAGACAAACCGTCACGGATCCCAACAAAACGTAACATCTGAGGGGCCTTGCGTTGGCTTATCCAGGGTTGACAACAAGGAGACTCATTAGTGTTCTACTACTGTGGCCATGGCTCACTCACGGGTGCATGACCGTGATAACGATGAGAGAGATGGGTATGATGAAGCACTATGCCCCGTTCATTAGGAGACAGAGAGAAAGTTATTGGATGATGAGATTAATGACACCATAGTAAAGCCATTAACCCATAAAGCCAAACTCCATGCCATCAGCGATACTTGATACAGTGGAACATGTCTAGATCTGCCATTTGTTTGCAGGATGAACTGGTTAGTGACAAGTTTATTGTCTATTATAATCTAAGATGGTAAACAATTCTTTCACTCACAATTCTTTGCATTCTGAACAAGAAATCTACCTTATTGTTATTTTACTTTTTGTCAAGCGGGGAACAATACTATAGGCGGGAAGATCACCGCAGCCAAGGCACGTATAAAGGTACAAGCGGTGGCAAAGCATACTGCTTCAGCGCTTGTGATGATCGCCAAAATGCTGGAGATATCCCAGGACCATGTAATAATTTCCTAGATAAATAGAGATACACTATCCCCAAACTCTGTCCCACTGCACACACCATTCTCACTGTTACAAGAAAGTTGCTGTATTCGACCATGAAGATCTCAGGAGATTCAATATCTTGGAATGAATTTCATATAATAACTACTAACCTTACACGATGTAGTTCCAGGAATATATCCTGCATTTTCTGAATAGATAGAACAAGAAAAAGTCAAACAAAACCCACAGATAAATAAATTTAATTAACATATCAACTGGTTTTGGAAACTCAATTGGCACATATTTTATTATGTTCGGATGGAAATGTAAGTAGAGCATATCATTTGAAACATAAAAAAGGCTAGTCCAGTGTATAAATAAATTAACCTACCTATGTATTTGAACTAAACTAGAATTACATATTCAAAAAACATGTATATAAAAATTTCAAAGATACCGACCAATAGTGTATGTGAGTTTGGGGGTTAAGGGCTCAAGACTAACCATATAAAAGACACGTACCACATAAAGTAAATGTAATACACTTTTGTTCCCTAATTAAGTAAATGTAACACGTTGGTATCAATTATAAACAAGTATTCTCCGTGAATAACAATTATTCAGAATCCTACATTTTGCTTATGCAGGCTTCCACAGGCAATACTACGATTGGTGCCTTCACTCATAGCTTCATCAAAACTCTGGAAACTGAGCCTCAATTAACATATGGCAGCTTACTTAACTCCATGCACAATAAGATTTCTGAAACCCAAAAAGAAGTGCGCATGAATAATCCAAATGCAGTTCTTCCACCACAGGTATGATTCTCTAGGTTGTCACATATTAAATTAGTTTGTACGAGTGATAGCTCATGTGCTGCATACCAGGTCATTTCTAATTTTGACAGTGGTATTTGGAACTAACGTGTTAGGTGTGTAGTTACTTATACCATTAATTAGTCTGAAGGTGTTTCAGACCTTGAATGATTCAGTTACTTAATACCTATTAGCATGAAAGAGTGATGCTAATCATGTTACAAACCAACATGTCATGTTCAACTCAACTTTACAAGCTTTTCAACTAATTGGTTCATTTACATGGTTCCATGTCTCCAGTCTGATCTATGTAAAGTAAAACTATCCATGACAAAATTCAAAACAATCAAGTTGTTTCTCAGAGTAACTCCAAGTTCTTTATAGCCTTGCTTCTATTTTTGGTGTTGGATCAATTCACTCCTTGCTACCAGTGCATTAATTGGTCCAAATGGTCAAAGTCAAACCACCTCAAAGGTCCAAATTATCCTATTTTCTATAGAAGGAAATAGGAATGCCTTTTCATGTGCATAGTCTAAAACTCTAATGATCATTCATCATATCATGCAGTAATATCTTAAATAAAAAATAATAATAAACGTCAATACCAAGTTTTTTCCAAGATATTTAAATCCTTCGCTAATCATGTTTGTCCACGAGTAATTTTTCTTGAGCTAATACTGGGTTTCATTTTGGTGTTTTGTAGGAGCCTCTACTGTCCTCTACTAAGAGGTTTGACATTCACTCATAGACATTTACCTTATAGACTCTATATACCATCAAGTTCTAGCCAAAGCTGATGAATTGAAGTAATAAGTAATGATGTAATCAGTCTAAAATAAA